CTCAATCTAGTGTTCTCTTATAACAATACTGTTAGTGTTCATGAATGGTTGAAAAGCTATGATTTAGTTTTGCTCTATTACGAACCTTCAATCGTATTGGAGATTATTCTCTGCAGAATAATCAACCGAACCTGGAAATATGTTGTAGACATCTTAAGTTTTTTCAAAGATACTCCTGCTGATGCTATCTATTGGTGCACAAAATGACTGAATATATTAATTGATATATTTGAAAATAGCGGCAGTACATAGATTCTATATAAAAACAGTTAACATGATGTCTTTTAATTAACAGAGTGTGGATGTGAATGTGCATTGGAATTTTGGTATTCAGTGAAACTACACCCACATCCTCGAGTTTTTATGGTTCAAGTTGGTTCCGAATCTTTTTAATCGTATTTACAAATTTCATGAATTGTTAAAGTGTTTATTGTATGTTGTACTTTCATAAACCATAATTAGGATTTATGCTGATCAAGTACGCTTTGAAATGTGATGTAGAGTGTAGATGCGAATATTAAAGTTAGAAGAATATTTGCACACTCATAAGCACTTGCAGCCATGTCGATATCAAAGATCACGCGCCCATACCAGTTGATAATGACATATCTATAGTATTTATTTGATGTTACATGTTCAAAGTGAATAAAAACATTTTTTAAATGAAAATTTCAATGTGAAATTTTACTGGCATGAAAAGTCTCATTCTACTTTGCTCTGCTATTTTCCAGGACAAGGTATTTTTCAGAGACACTTTGCCTTATTCTGTGAACACCTCTACATCCTATACAAACTACTCAGATCACCAAACTATGACATTTAAAATATAAATCACTTACGGCATGTATCGATGAAAATATTCTAATTTGAAGGTATTTATACTCTATGTAAGATATTCATAATCCAAAATTTTTACAAAATCTTTTGTGTCTTTGTTTTCGTGATGATTAGATAGAGCTCGTTGAGTTTTCTGAAATTTCTTCTTCATATTATTTTCTATGCTAGTCGACTGAACTCTATCCAATCATCGTAATAAGGAAAGAAAACTAATCCTACTGAAATTTTGAATTGTTAACATCTTAATTCATATATCAGGGTGCAGCTACACCATAAGCAATTAATATTTCAAATTTCATGGTTTGATAATAAGAGCTTTAGTCTGACTCTAATATATTCAATTTCGTTTAGGTACAACAAAACATCTTTCTGTTGTACATGAAAAAAATAATGATTATATTATATTTTATTTTATTTATAATAGTCTATAGAAAAGAATACATCATAATATATTAGAAATCAATGTTACCACCATAAATATAATTTATTATGAACGAATTCGATTGAATAATTATCCAGTAACTTTTCATAATCGATCACGTTCTTCACTATTCCAAGAAATTTTCCAGTTGCATTGAGAAAACATAACGAGAATAAATGACGAATGTTTCCATTAGTTTTCATTAAAAGAAATTTTATCATAGATTGAAGATGATCTATTGAAACATACAAGTTGATATATTGCAGTCGAGGACATAAATTAACAAGTAGTTCCCATTGTTTTAATGAATAACCACTATAGACAATCAATCTTGTAATTTTGTTTTGATTGGATATCAATTGAAAAGATTCAGTTTGTGGAATCAACACTGGATCTGATGCATATCTAGCTATAGAACTAAGTCTTAATGTTTGTATATTGGATGTAAAACGTAATATTTTCAATAGTATATCAATGGAAAACTGTTCCAATTAATAGTTAAATTAGTCAATTGTGTTAAATGTATAAAACGACTACAATCAGTAATGATCAAGTAATTTCTTTCACATTGTATAGTGAGCTCAGTAACATGTGGAAACTGAAGCATATAGGTAGTCGATAATTGTTCATCATTGATATGAACATGACGAAGCAAGTCACGAATAGTTTCCTGTCGATCTGAACACGTATCGAGATTAGATGCATTATATAGTGTATACTTTTTTCGTCTGAAAGAAATAAAAAACATATCATTACTTAATATGAATAAATTGTGTATCGCTAACCTATATGGCTGAATGGAATAGAAGATCGAATCACGTTGACGTCCTTGTGAATAATGCTGATGTGCAAAGAACCATTGTCGTTCAGACCAAAATGGAGAGTTAAATTGATCGATCAAAGCATGATATTCATCTTCACGTAGACAGGTATTATCCATGATATTTGTATGTTGAAAGTCAAATATTTTTAAGGAAGGCATATAAGTTAAAATCAATTTTTGCCATCGATTAGCATTTAAATATGCTTTATCATCGTGTGTAGAAATTTGTAATAATTCAAGTAGATTAAAACGATTTTCGATAAGCGGTTGAAACCGATCAAAATTTATATATTCCACATGAAATGAAATATGTGTCAAATTATTTAATATAATTGGCATTTTTTTCTTTAAACTGATAAATTCATTTAAAGAATGACAACATAAACGACGAAGTTGAGGAGTATAGCTTAAAAGAGTATTGAGTTGATTCAGATCGAAAGTACTATTAATGATCAAATGTTCAATAGTGCTGCATTCATTGACAGGAGGTTGAAGTGGTTTAGGTGGAATGCATTCGTAATAAGATAGTTTGCAATATTTCAAAATTGGTAAGCGAAAAATTAGACGATATAAACTAGTGCTATTTCGAATATAGTCAACAAAAACAATGACCAATGAGAATAGTCGAGGTAATAAAGCTAAATGCTTCACGATATTGTCAAGATATTTTGACTTGAAATTATTAAGAATAAGTGTTTCAAGTTGATGAAACTTTGAAATCATACAAGGACGTGTACAAATAAGATCAACAATGAATAAATTCGATAAATGAAGTAATTCAATTCGATGTTTATTTGGTATGATAATCTGTGTATAAAATTTTTGAAAAGTCGATTTAGACATGAACGATGTATCGATTTTAATAGAAAAATTGGAATCAGTAAGAAGATTTGAAAATCGTAAATTGAGATTTGAAAAAGCTTCGTAAACATGATAAACATCGAGAAATTCGAATATTTCATAAATAATTTCATTTGAATATCTTCAAAACGAGTAATCGACAATCTATATAGAAAAATTAATAATATAAGAGTAAAGTAGAATAGAATAAGACGTGATAATATTAAGTATTCCAGAAATAATCTATCAAAAACAAAAATCGTATGGAATATCATTAATGTATTTTCAAAGAGTGATCTCATCTTTTTTTTTTTGACATATCTGAATTTGTGAAATGCTTCGTACTGATCAATTTTAGTAAAAAAACCAAAAAAGTTTTCTATTTTCATCAGTAAATGATCGTGCTGTTCCAAAATTGTAGAGTTATTTGATATTTTTTTCTTTTTGTTTGGAATATTGAGCTTTGTATCATTATTTGTTAATTAAAATCGAAAATTATCTTTACTGAAATTACCAATAGAACAACGTTCTAGAACATGAGATATCTTAACAAATTTTTTTCAATACCTTTGTACCTTTATGATTAACTATTCATGTAAATATTCTAGCAAAAGTTTACTCGTATCGAATGAGTTTCTCGAGCAATTTTTTATATAGAAATATCCGAGAGAATACTTTGAAATCTCGAAGAAGATAGATAGACAATTCAAAATTCAAAGATTAGAAAAGAAATTTTTTTAATAATTAATCAAATTGAGTAATTTTACAGAAATTTAAAATCTATCGCTTATGATTGTCAAAAAAAAATGTAAATTTTTCTCTTGTAGCCACATAATAATAATTTTTAAATAATATTACGAAAGATTTTGCACATGAATATGAAATCACAATTCGTCTCCATCATTAAGAAAAAATAATAATAACTCATTCAATGGAAATATTCTGTTTTCTTTTCAAATAGATTTTGTCTGAAACACCTAGTTTATATCAATCACTGACCTTTGCATGTCTGTTGTTACTTCTAGAAGAAAAAACAATAAAAAAAATCTAGTAAGAATAAAAATTAAGGATAATTTACCTTGAAACTTCTTCTTCTTCTTTTCAATATCACACAGCTCAATATTATTTTGTTGCTGTGTTGTTTCACTCAGATATAAATTAACTGTTTGTTCGAATAACGAAGTTATTTTTTCTCTAGAATTAATAAAGCAAATACATAGTAACCAATAAAAATTTGTTCATGCACAAGAAAATATCATAATTATTCGTTCAATTTACTTCTACTACATATATAATACAGGAGCAAAGACACGATAATTAGATAGATTAAACTAAAGCAATATCTTAATTAAGACCATGATATATCAATTGATATCCATGTTAAAAATCTAAGTAAAAAACTTAACTCAAAATAGTTTGTGATTTTCAACAAAAAAAAGCCCTAAAGTCTTCGTTGATCGAAGGCTATTTATCACAGTTTCTTTGTAGCTAAATAGTGATCAGATGTAAATTTTCACTTATTTCTTAGCTATTAGAAATATTTTGAAACTAAGTATACTCTAAAAACAAAAATTTCATATATGCCGCTGAACCTCTTCTTTGTTTTTATCTAGGACTAAATGTAAGTTACAGACTAAATTAAATTTAACTCTTTCTTGCATGTAGCTAAACCTGACGATTCAGAAGGACAATTCGTTCAATAACATCAACCTTATGGTCTCTAATATGAATATACACAGGGAAAGTTTGAACTAAACGCGTCAAGCATCAACACACTAAAAATATTGCCATACATTTCAGTCAAATCAAGAAGAAAGTGAATGCATTTAAATGTCTTTAAACGTACATCAGCAGAAGAGAAAATATGATATACGCAATTATTAGCACATGATGGCAGAACAGAAAAAGAAAAGATGAAATTATACATGAACGAATATCACTAAACTAAGTTACAATAAATATGTCTTTCTCTTATGATACGATTATAATGCGTGCCATACCATTATATATTCAGTAACGTCAAGAAAATTACTTTTATGACAAAGACTAGATTTAAACTGTTGATTTGAAGTCTAAAATAGATCGGTTTTAGGTTGATATAAAATCTGTTCTTAAATGTCTCATGGTTCAAGAGAACCATATTTTCATAAAGTAGTCTCTATAAGAACCATAAATGCAAGAAAGGGTTAAGCTAAATTAATTGTAGTTAGGCGCGAAAATTTTCATTAATTCTTGTTCTCATTGACATATTTAATCTGCATCATAAGAAACATTAATGACTACTTATTGTTTTTTTTTTGAGAATCAAAAATTGTATCTCAACAACAACTTTATCAACAAGAAAGTAAACATCTAAAATCTTTAAATAGAGAATTTCTGCAAAAAGCAGAGATCATGCAAACCCATAAATGAAAATATTCTCCATTGCCTAATGAATACGTGTTCATCAGATTTTGATTTACATTTTACATTATGATATTGCACATCTTTTGGCAATGTAAAAGCATTGATTTGAAAATTTGACTACATGATACAAAAACTTATAATAAACTGTACTATCAATAGAAGACATGATAGATATTTTTCGTACAATTCTAAAGATGGTTAGGAAGGATTTTCTAGGCTTCATACAAATACACAATTCGACGCTATCCCTCCTTCAAACAACAGCAACCTTTTGAACATAATGATAGCAACATGCAATAATTCATGGTACCTAACAAGATCTCATTGATAAACTTAACTATGTCAATAGCTCGAAGATGAATATGATTCAACTTTCTGGCCAACAATTTGAAAGTATGCTTCCAAATATTTATTTAGTATAGATAGAGAAAATATAAAAACTATTAGAGTGAAAGAGTCTTCAGTTTTCGACAAGACATTGGCTTCAATGCTATTAGGGTGTCGATGTCTGAATATGAGATGTGGCTTTCAATGAAGAACAGCTTCACACCCACATCCTATGGATATTATTTGTTTGTAAAAAATGAATTGATTTACATTTTTGTGATTTATTTTTTGAACGAAAACATTCGAATTGTTTGTCTAATTTACCATCAATAAGTTTCAGTCTTCAACGTTGACTAAATTAAAAATAAATGTTAAAAATTTTACTGAATGCTTATTTCTTCATAATACATATCTCAAATGTTTATCAAGACTAATTATTTATGTTGAAATAATTTATGATTCTAATAAATGATATATTGATAACAAAGGAAGGATTATTTTGATCATCATTTTTATATTATGAAGAATCAAAAAAATATTTGCAATATTTATAACAGAACCCATTATGATCATTTATTCATTGAATGATAAATGTTGAAGAATTGAAATTCTATTTCTTAATAGAATATTGTCACTCAAATTCTATTGATGCATTCAATTATATGATCAAATTCTTATTCATATAAAACATTTAACAAATTAATGACTTGCCTATGGATGTAAGATTAATTTAAATCTTTCCGTGAAAGAAGATTCATATATAAAAATATTCATTAAAGTATGATTCAAAGGTAATATCATGTATATTCACTTATCATATCAAATCGAATATTTTACCTGAAATAAAGAATTCTTTTGCAGGAGGTAGATTTTATACAACACGATATTTGATAATGATTCATAAAAATCCTTTTGAACATACACTACTTGACAAAAGTATCCCCCCTCGGATCTCAGTCCATACAAGAGCTGAGCGGCTGAAAATAGGTGTGCAGGTAGTCCATAAAGAATGTAGGTCAGCGGCACCATTCACACCACAGTTGCTCGAGTAAGAATAGAGTTCTAATGGATGTCATTGGTATGCATTGTGAACTTGATAGCTCGAGAAAGATAAGACATTTTGAGTCGGCCAACCCCTCATTTTGTAGCCCTACCTAGTAGCTATTTGTACTAAAAATTTCATTAAAGTTCATCTATCTATTGATGAACTATGATCATTTTAGTGTAAATATTGATATAACGAAAAACCATATCATACCATCGAGAGATTAATAACTTAGTGATAGTTCAATGAATTCATCTGAAATTTTCAGGAGATATTCCCCCATCATTGAGTATTGTGTCCTGAAAGTTTCAGAAGCAAATCTCTTACTAATGAGAAATGGCATGTGAATGGCTGTTGAGTTCTTGTCAAGCCTCTAGACTCCTTATAACTCGAGCAAATGGCCTCATCTTTTGACTGCAGAAAGAGCATAGGTTGGGCTC